AGTTGAAAAATTCTCAGAAGGCATGTTCCGTTCGCAGATTTTACAGACGATCTATCAGATAGCCAGCCAGTCACCAATGAGACGTGGGCCCATCGCATGAATAGGTTACACGATACTATTCTACCGATGTTACACAAGGTCACTCTCAAGTATACAGACTACGCACTGGCGAAGCAGTTCGATAGACTCCTAGTCACGTTCCAGGACGATGATGTGGTTATGGTGAAGTCGGAGGGCCGAACGACAAAGGCAATGCGCCTAATGTTTGGTCCGTACGTGGTCAAGCAACAACAGGGTCAAGGATATATCCTAGCGAACAAAGACGGCACCCCCCCAAGCACGTTCAAGGGCAAGCCGGTCAGAGTGGAACTGTTGGGCCTGGTACATAGAGCAACGGATCCACCTCTGGCGAACGAGATGTAGCAAGAACAGGGTTCGGCTTTCAGGCACATCATCCGACACCGCCAGAATGACCACTCCGGCGTCATGGAAACCTAGTTCGGTGGAAGGAAGGCAATCCCACATGGGAGACTTCAGAAGCCTTCAATGATCCAAATGATATTGCAGCATACCATAAGGCAGATCAAACGAGGAGGAAGTGAAGAGAGTTGCAGAATCCAGGTATGTAATAGCTTCGGACCCTACTAAACCTATTTTATTGAACTACTTGTTGTTTCAACAATGAAGGCACAAGCCAGTGGCACATGCCAGTTTATAGGTCGTTTATACCCTAAAGTGTTCCTATTCTCCAGGCACCACGAATAATCTCTAGCTCGAGCAGACTTAATTGCGAGCACCCCACCTCCAAGGTGATGAGCCAGCTTATGGGGGTCGTCTTCGACCTAAAATGTTCCCATAGGCAAGGCGCCCCGAGTTTCGTCGCATAGCCAGTGTTCCGGTCGGCAAGGACCGTTATTCCAAGGTAATTGCAATACGTTACGCACTGTTGCTTCAGACACAGCTTTGATCCCCGACAGGCGGATATAATCTACTCGACATCAAAGACAATGATTTTCGAGGAATTTCATCTTTAGAGAAGCTCTCCCTTCACCAGTGATGCTCAAGCTTGGGGGAAGTGTAGCAAAACTCATTGATAGGATAAACCTGGCTAGGTTTAGGATAAACCTGATTAGCAGGTTTTAGTTCCATAGAGTCGCACATGGTGGAGACTCTCCGGAACTCACATAGACAGTCAAATGACTTAATAAATATACCTGACCGAGGCTCACTGAGCCTCAGTAGGTTTTATGACCGTATTTGACGTGTTTACTACGTAAATATATAGGCCATGTACGACCCTCAGTATGACCAATTCTCCTTCAATTAAAAACCCTAGATTGTAGACATAGGCTCATACTTATACTTTTTCGATTTTATTTTGTTTATTGATATAATAAGGCAAAATTAGCCCATTTGTTGCTGTTGATTGGGATTCAGCGGCACTTTTGTCAGGTTTTTGTCATTCTTTAAGGCTCGGCGCATGTTGGATACAGATAGGTTCTCTCCGTAGGGAGTATACAACATCTTTATTGCGGCCTGCGCAGTGTGTCCTCTCAATATAATTATCTCCATCGATCTCCAAAAGTGATTTCTAAAACTATAGGTAGTTTAAACTTGGCCTCTTTCCCTAGCTGTGAAGTTTTTCCGGCTTCGTTGTTGTCTAGTCCTTCTTCTTATTCGAGCCAAAGATTCCATAGTGTTCTAGGCCCTTTGCTGAGTATTGGTTCCCGTACTTCTGGCTGTTGTCCGAGATTGTGTTCATGATTGACTTGTGGTGGATCATTTCGTGGTGGATTGTTTTGCTACTGATTATTGTTCTGCTGTTGGTTCTGCGCATTACGTCGTGCTCTGTATGGTAGTTCCATCCGGTGGAAACCTGCTGTCATATCTTTCCTTGTCCTCAGCACTAGTTTTCTTAGTCTAGTATTTTGTGCGGTGTACTCCAGCTTATCCTCCTCCATCATTTGTTTTAGGTGACGCATTAGGTGGCGTACTTCTGCTGTGAGTCCAAATATTTCATTGTGCAAGTCTTGTACATTCATGTGTTCTACATTCTCGACCCCTGGTGCGCCATCGATCTTTTGTATGCAAAAGCTGTCATTACTATCGCGTACTATTAGTACCTATTGTTTGACAACAACTTTTGTCAAATCAGTGTCTGGGTGTATGTTAAAGTTCTCATTCATATGCGTCATAACTGTCTGTTTAAATTTCACTGTTATCAGTACACTGTCCGTTAACGCTAAATATAACCCAGTGATGGCAGATAGTCTTTTGTGCGCTTCGTGTATGTTCGTTAGGTCATAAAGACCTGGTATTACACCGCTCAAAAACTTTTCGTTGTCTATTATCTCTGCATTTTGCTGTACTTTATATATACAAGGTCCTCTAGGACCGCAAAGTTGTTCGGATACCTTTGCATCTGGTTAAGGCATCAGATTACTTGTATATGTGTCCACTTGCCTTCTTTGTCTGTATCTCGGTGTTCCGTCAGGTTTCATAGCCCATCTACCCCTAGCATTAGCGTCATCCTTGGTACTTCCCCTACGTTGGGCATATGTGCATGGACATTTCCTAAAACTATGTGTACCTATGTCAGACACCGATCCCATTGCCTCAAACTCATCTAGTGCTACTATTCTCTTCAGTGCACTCCTTGAGTAGTCAGTTTTCAACTGATCATCCCTACCAGTTTGACCATTGGCAGTGAACATCCACTCTAAAATCAAAGTGGACGGATCAGCACGATCGTCGAGCCTTTCAATCAGATGGGCGGTTAACCCTGTAAGCGCACACAAATAAAGATCCATGCTGCCTAGTATACTGCCTGTTAGACACTTGCTTTTTATTGCTTATATTTTTGCTCCGCACGACCTCTACAAATAAGCAGTTTTGATACCCTGCTATGTATTTCAAATTCTCGTACTTCAAGTTACACGCATCATCGACCCTGCACACAAGTTGAAACGTCCACGTCCACAATCCGTGCAGAGTTGGATTTCGGGAGCGGCGTGTTCAAGATATTGATTTTCAATATGTTCATATACTCAATATACTCAAGTGGTCTCTTCTCTGATCCTGGCTTACCTTCGCCACGAAGCTCCCAACGTGCAACTTGTTTGATCAGATTGTTCAGCGCCAGTGATATAGTTGGGTTACCCTTCTCATCTACTAAGTCCCACTCATTATTTCGTGGCATGTACCATGATATCGCCTTCTTTTCGAAGAGAATACCGTTAGCCCTTTTCAAAGTAGGCCTATCGTCTGGTCCAGGAACCTGGACACCAAATGCAAGCTCATTGAAATATCGACAGAGATCGTCTGGCTGAATGGCCAAAAGTATTTCTCTCAAGTTGTCATTATTTGCTTTCAAATCAGTATGTTGATCAAAGTTGTAGTTTAGGTCTAAACCAACTTAGGAATTTGAGAGTGATTGTGTTGTACACTGCCAGATTCTCTGGATTAGGCATGGTTATAGTATGCTTTATATTGTAGTTTTGTGTGTGTTTTTGTGCGTATATATCTATATTTTGAGTTTTGTTTTGTGTGTTCAAAATTGAAAATGTACGACCCTGTAGGTAGTGCAAATTCCGCGGGCGGGCTGGGCTGACCAATAATATTATGGGTCGATTTTACGATATCCAATTGATTCACGTTCTCTGTGCGGAAGGCACAAGGGTCAAACAAAGTCGTAAAAAACATGTAAAAAGTACGATCCTGTGTTTGTCCAATTTTCACGAAACTAGTCCATATAATTGCTATATTATGGAGAATACTGTAGCTTTGGGATGGTAAAAGTTGCAATAGAGTCATCAGTGGATGCTGAGGACCAATGGGAAAGTATTGGTAATGATCTAGGACCAATAGGCTGCACGGGCGGTATGATATATTGTTAAAGAGTCTGATTTTGGTCGTGCGACCGAAACAATACATAGGTATGCCGGAGCCAAATTGAAAACTCCAAAAACCCATGCTTCTCTAACATCCTAGTGACCGTAAAAGCGTAAGTAGTTGGCCTGGCGATCTCTTCTACCAACTCAATCACCCTGTCCGTCTGTACCTCGACCTCCTCAAGCATCTTGTCCAAAATATTGGGGACTGTGACACATTGCGAGAGGAGGTATCGCTCTATCTTGCCTTCAGCCATGGCCAAGATGGCGTGATGCTGTTCGCGGCAGTTAGTATACCGCGTACAGAAGCGGTCCACTTCTGCCGCGATGAAATCCGGCAGCGGCTGCGATGCCGCTCTAGCTATCTCCGCACCCCTCAAACCCACTGCCCTGGGCTCTTCCATCGTGGCCACAGGCTTCCAACCCTGACAGATGTTGCGCACATAAACCCGATTTCTGTTGGCGCGCAGCAGCAGCCTTCTTTGCTGCCCTTGCCGCCCGTCTAGCCACCTTCTTCTTCTTCAGCTACCTACTTAGGACCCCTCTTCTTCGGTGCAGGCTCCGGTGCCTCCTCGCTGGTCTCACTTGCCGCCTTTGCCAGACCCCCTTGCACGCTCCATTGATGGCTGAGGCTCTGCTGGCCCACTGATATCGACCAACGGTTCTTCAGCCTGGTAAGCTGCCAAGCGCTTCTGTATAGCGGCCATATACTCCGCCGCTGAAGCCACTGGCTAGAGACCAGGACTGTGAGCAGCGAGCGCCCACACATAAACACTATGAGCTCTTGGAGTACCTCGAACATGCGTTCGGAGTCCTGCCTCAAAGAGCGAGCGAAATTGACAATGACTGCCACTTTATCACCGTTGCTAAATCGTGGCCAAACGCCAGCATACAATCACGCATATGCGATCAACCAGTCCGGATCAGCCCTCATGACAGCAGCATCAGCGACTGGAGGGTCATAAAGAAGTCCTGGCTGAGAGATTGCTTTAAGATGCGCACTCTCTCAGCCATTTGACCTTCGCCTAGCCCCGTGTAGGCAACCATGGTGCGGACGAGATCAACGTGCTCGTTCCACAGCCAAAGGTTGTCAGCCTCACCTCCTGTAAGCACTACTCCAACGTGCTTCACCATCTTGATGTCTTGAGTTGTTAAATTTACAAAAGATGCCTAGATTGTCGCCTAAATTACGACCGATTTCACCTATAATTTATGGGGAAACGTAGCCACTATCAATTCACTAATTGTGATTAGACTAACCTACACCTAAAAAAACAAGTCTGAACAGAACACGTAGGCCAAGTGCCAGATAGTCTATATCTTAACTAATGAATGTTAAGATAGTGAGCTACTGGCCCTGGCCTGAAAAGGTTCATTGTATTTTACAGTGACACATTTTCCGTGTACTCCAAATTTGCGTCACGCGGCCAGGGCCCAAAACCCAATACCCTAGCTCAGTTTGAGATATGTTTGAGCCGATCACAA